GAGCGCACGCGCCCTATAGCGAAAATCTCTCCAAAAAAAAAGAATGAATCAGGGGTCAGCAGATGGCATGGTAGTTGGGGGCGAACTCGCACATGGCCAACTCTGGTTCCAGTCGTGGACCTGGTTGCTTTCTTCCTCACTTTTCCTTTCTGTCTCTCTCTGGTCAAATTAAAATAATAACAATAACAAAGAAAATTAACTAAAAAATTTTTTTCTTTTTTAAAAAATTATTTAATTTTATTTATTCATTCATTTATTTTAATTTGACCAGAGAGAGAGAGCAACACACACACACAGAGAGAGCAAGAGCAAGAGAGAGAGAGAGAGAGAGAGAGAGAGAGAGGGAAAGGGACAAAGGAAGCCACCAGGTCTGGGACTCGAACCATGGTTGGCCATGTGGAAGTGTCCAGCACCTTAACCACCACACCACCTGCTGGTCCCCATGAATAAATAATGTTTTTTTAAAAAGGATCAGGGCCAGCCAGGTGGCAGGGTGGCTAAGGCAGCACCTATATCCCAGATGGCTGACTACACAGCTCAAGTCCCGGATCCTATCTATAACTCAGAAAATACACTGTGTGTGTGTGTGTGTGTGTGTGTGTGTGTGTGTGTGTGTGTGTATACCCAAAATTTTAAGAGGAGAATGGAGGAGAAGGAGAAGGGGCTGTGGCATGGCCATTTCCCTGCAATGTGTGGTATAGCAAAAACTTTATAAAAAAAGTACAATTTGTATGCTCAGACAGACTTCTCCTTTGGTTCAGTATCTTACATGATGCCACTTGCAGTTTCTGCCTTACTTTCTTCCACTTCAAATGCTAAAGAACATCTTTAAACCAGTCCAAGGAATATAAGTTTAGTGATCTTAACTAGAGCTACTGCAGAACTTTGTTTATTGGTGTCCGAAATTAAACCAAAACATGTTTCTTAAAGGTATTTTGACTCAAGTTAATTAAATTCATTTTATTTATTTATTTTTATTTGCTATAGGGCAGGTATGTTCACCAGAGAGAGGGAAAATGAGAAATCACCCTCCACCCAGGGTGGTCATGCCACAATCCCTTCTCCTGCAGGGATTTTGGGTATGCAAGCACTCACACCTGGTGCGTTTTTCAAATTGCCGAGTCCGGGACTCAAACTGTGTAGTCAATTATGTGAGATCAAGCTGCCTTAACCACCATGCCACTAGCTGGTCTCTTAAATTCTAAAGGAAAGCTAAGATTAGCAGGTCTGTTTGGTTCCTTTTTAGTTTTCATTATAGTCCAATATTCTGTGTTAGTATTTTTACAGAAATGTTTCTTCTCTTCACAACATGGACGAATTCTTAGTAATGAGATTTAAAGTGGCAACAGCAGAGATCACAAGAATATAAAATATCAGAAGATTAAAGAGGAAACAGAGAAAAGCCAGATTTCAAAGTATAATCATATTGTAGAAATAGGATCTACCTGGGTTGTTCTCTAAGGAAAGGTCTGTTCTCATGTATTACGCTTTTGAATATCATGTTTTACCAGCAAATGACCATAAAGTCACACATGAAAATGAGAGGATGACAAATGCTAAAGAAAGCAACAAGTCCCTTCTACCCAGACCAGTGGGCGCTGGCAGTTAATAGACTATCCCAGCTGGCTTCTGTGAAGAGACAACCACAGCAAATCTCATAGCTGAGACAGAAACCAGTTATAGCTTAGCCCTACCATCTGCTTGCCCCAATTTACTCTGTATACTCATGTTCATGGAATTGCTTACTTTGTCATTAGACATATCCATCTATCACGAGCCTCTACCCTCCCCAATCAGATGCGGGTCAGCAGAATGTCCACCTGTCCTATCCTATCAAGCTGACACTGAAGTCAAAGTGAGGTAGAGGTCACGGCCTATCTAGTAACACAGGCAAGGAAACACACCTTTCTTTTAAGTATTAGTTTCTGTGGTCTCAACAAAGAGCTGAAAAATAACAGATCCAATATAGACAGGGTAGAAGAGAATAGCAGGAATTTTACAAGAGCATTATTTTGACCAATGAACATTTATGCAAAGCTAAAATATTTTCAATATATAAACAATGTGAAAATAACTCAAGGACAATTTAACCTAAATGTTCATTTATGTTCCTAAGCAGAAATATTCCTAAACTCTTTGTGGTTTTCTTTTCCCAGTTATTTTTCAATCCTTTTAGCAAAAGAATACCCAGGCTTCCTAGAAGAGGGAAGATAAACAAATCATAAAACCAAAACTTATTGTAAAATGGGATTGTGGAGAGGAGGTGGGGGAGGGGTGGTGAGTGACACAGAACAGCACATGCCATGTATCCTGGCCAAGTCACCAGTACATAATGACTATGACTAAAGTACACTGGGTCTATTATAGTTCCTTGACTTTTAAAGCTACGACTAAATTCAGCTAAGCAGTTGTACATTTAATGCCCTGGGACAGTATCTAAAATGGGAACAGATCTAAATTCAAACTAACGCAGCCCTAAATCAGAGTAAATATTTAAGGGCTCTTATCATTACCCTCTCCCCTTCCGCCCCCCAAAAAATCCTCCCATCCATTTTCTATTTCATGTCACTTTTATTACATTTATTTTTGCATAAAAAAATAGGTAGGAGGCCAGCAGATGGTAGAACAGTTACATCACGGAACTACCTCATGGCTGACCACAGTTCAAGTACTGGACCCAGTGGCTTGAAACTCACACTGGGTGCCTGAGTGTGCATGCCCAAGATCCCGGGAGGAGAATGGAGAAGAGATTGTGCTGTGGCCATCCATTCTAGGGGGTTATTTCTCACTTTTTCTCTCACTGTCTCTGCCTCTCTCCCTGGTGAGAGCATATACACTTAGGCAAAAACCTTTAAAAAAAGAAAGAAAGGAAAAAAAAAAAAAACCCAACAATTAGAATTTAATTAGTTGAAGCTATTTTTTCCCTATAGATAAATATCCTTAAAATCTATAAAACTACTTGGTCATGGTTGAATAAAGTAATTTCATCAGCTTAACTACACAATTGATGAACATAACTGCTAACTGGTTAGCTAGTTTAAGTGAGACAGAGGTACTATCAACTATAACTGAAACTGATCTAAAAAAAAGTTGGCATAAAACTTAAGTTGGAGTAGTAGAGCAACTTTTTTTTTCCCCCACAAGAATTTACAAAATAACACAATGGTTTACTCTCATTAGTAACTTTCCCTATTAATTGTTAATTTCTATTTTTGTGTTATTCTATTGCCTAAATCCTTTAATAGAAGCAGAGCTAGCACACGTTCTTGATTTTTTCTAATTTTAATGGAGAGACTTCTAAAGTTTTATCATTAAATAGGATAGCTCACTCCAAGTTGAGCTATCTCCCGGGGGATGGCAACACCACCATTCTTTCTCTTCTATTCTCCTCTTGGGATTTGGGCTCTCACATACACCCAGTGTGTTTTTCTCTTTCTTTTTTTGGAGAGGTTTTTGCTATACGGCATGTGTGCTCACCAGAAAGACAGAGAGAGACAGAAAGAGAAAGTGAGCAATCCCCCCCCAGGGGGGATGGCCATGCCGCAATCCCTTCTCCTCCATTCTCTTCTCGGGATCTTGGGCACACACGCACATGCGCCCAGCATGAGTTTTAAGCCACTGGGTCCAGGACGCGAACCACAGTCGACTACGTGGGAGTCCAGCGACACAGTCATTACGCTAACTGCTGGTCCCTCTTTTTCTTTTTTAAATAATTATTTTGTTTAACTTTACTTATTTATTTTAATTTGACCAGAGATGGACATAGTGAAAGAGACAAAGTGTGAAACCAAGCTGCCAGGCCTGAGACTTGAACCACAATCAGTCATGAGGGAGTCCAGCACTCTTAGCCACCATACCACCTGCTGGTCCCACCCAGGGTGTTTTTCTTTTTCTTCTTTTTTTTTTTTTTGCTGGAGAGGTTTTTGCTATAGGGTGCATGCACTCGCCAGAAAGACAGAGAGACAGAAAGCAAGAAATCATATTAGTTTTTCAAACTATATTTTTTCACTAGCCTTGTGGGATCCAGATGCCTTGACCTCCACACTGCAAATTGGCCCATCCACAGCATTTTCTTTAGAGAATGTCAGTGCAACACAGTTAAGAGT